ATCTTTTCTTTTTTTTCCACATCGGCTGTGAGATGGGCACGGAGTCACAGATTAACAGCACTGCAAAAAATAGAAATCTCAATAAGTTATTTTTTCTTAAAATAAGTGTGTTTTTCCTTGATTTGAGGAGGTAAGTAAGACACTTTGCCAATGGAACAAGACAATTTCCTTTTAAAATAAGAAAAAACTATTTTATCGTCTTATTTCAAGTAAATATTATCTAACTATCTTATTTTAAGAGTGAAAATACTAATTCCATTGGCAAATCATCTTATTTACCTGCTCAAATTAAGGCTAAATATACTTAATTTAAGCCATTTTTTACTTATTTCTGGATTGTTTTTGCAGATGGTGATGCGTAGAAAAAAAACACCTGGTCTCCTCACATACACCTGCCTCAGCCACGCTTTCATCATCTCCTCATCCATCCAGCCTTTTTCATTTGCCTTAATATCATATGTCATCAGAGCGATGTGTCTGTCTCGCTGTCAGCTCCCAGATCAGCTTCTCTGATTGGTTGATGCGGCGCGTCCAGCAGCAAAACTTAAATTTTTCCATCTCGAGCTGCAGCAGCGCGTTGGCAGATGCTTAAACGCTCCCGACGTGCAGGGCCTGCTGCTCAAAACACGCTGCGGGCCCTTTTGCTGCGCCTATACGCGCGTCAACCATTGACTTTGCATGTAAACTCGCTGCTTCTGCTGCACCTGCTGGGTCCGGTTCACACCGATGTCGAGCGGTTGAACAGCGAGCACAGCGTTAATTTGTTTCCCCATGTTTTTCACATCAGCTGTGAGATGGGCACACATGGAGTTACATATTAACAGCGATGGTGATGAGTGGAAAAAAAACACCTGGTCTCCTTACATTCAGCCACTCTTTCATCATCTCCTCAATGAGGTGGTCTCAAAAGTCGCAGTTACAACACACATAGGGCGCACCGCACCAAAGGGCGCACCGCACATTTTGAGGGGGAAAAAAGACGTTTAAGTGCGCCTTATAGTCGTGAAAATACGGTATTAATCAGAATCATATGACCAATACTCAATGTAGCTATCATTGCTTTTTAATGGCATCCTTAATGCTATAAATAGTAATACGTTTACCCCTACTGTAATATCTCCATGCAGTCATCAGGTGTAGTATCCTGAATGTAAGATGACGGACGATGTAATCTAAAGGGATCTGCTTGAGTGAAATGTCTAGATTTGAATTCACATTTTATGATCAGAACTTTTATTTTGAAGAGGTTTAGGTTCTACATGAGGATAGTCATTATTTTTATGTCACCGCCTGCCTCAAGCCTGATCCTAATCAATCTGCCTTGCAATCGCATTAATGAAGAGGAAAATGGAAACAGCACAGCGTCCACACATTACTTGACGGACTTGTTTTATAGTATCATAACTTCATGTGTCAAAGAAGCAAAGCAAGTTCTTAGAAGAAGAGAGGAGGCATATAAAGCGGGCTAGTGTAACCCTTGCAGTACTGTTTATCATGAGTTGCAGTGGCTGTCTGACCCACAGTAGAGGGGAAGACTTGCAGGTTACATATCTTCCTGTCTACCACTAGTGCCCATTACATTTTTTTTTTTAGTTTCTCAACCAGAGCTGCTTAGTAGACTCAAAGAAGTCGCCTAGTTTAGAGTGGGGATTGGGAGCTGGGTGGGTAAGTGACCGCAGTAATTAAAATTTCACTACTGTTTGGATTTTAATTTTTACTATTTGAAGGAAAAAATATAAAAAAGAATTTGTAGAAATACATTGAGGGTATCTACAGCTTTGATAGTGACTAGTAGTTAAAATAAAAGTCCTTAAACAAAGACCTTAAAATTTGAGACCCAAGTCGAGAAAAATGGAATAGACAAGAGGTGGAAATTATTGGCACTTCGAAACACTCTATAAAGGACTGCTTCTGCGGGTGGGGACCACAGACCATTTCTCAGTGCCTATGGTTTCTGGCTGATGTCTTGGTCACTTATGAATGTTGGTGGTGCTTTCACACTTGTGGTAGCTTTAGAAAGACTCTACAAACCACACAAGTGGCTCAAGTAGTGTCTCTGATCCAGGACTGCACATCAATGCAAGCCATGGCAAAAAGGTTTGCTGTGTCTGTCAAGTGTAGTGTTAGGAGGCTTGAGGGGCTAACAGGAGACATGGAGGAAGCAAACAACCCAGCAGCAGGACCACCTTTGTGCAAAGGAACAGGAGGAGCACTGCTAGTGCCCTGCAGAATTACCTCCAGCAGCCCACAGCCCCCAAAAGTGAAACTTTCTGCACATGCCAACCACCCTGCAGCATGCAAGAGGGTTGAAGTATGCCATTGAACACCAGGATTGGCAAATCCTTCTCTGGCACCCTGTGCTCTTCACAGATGAAAGTAGGTTCACACTGAGCACATTTGACAGTCTGAAGACAACATGTAAGGAGTTCTGCTGCCTGCAACATCCTATAGCCTGAATGATTTGGCAGTTGGTCAGTAATGGTGTGGGGTGGCATTTCTTAGAACCACACAGCACTCTATGTGCTCGCCAGAGCTAGCGTGACTGCCATTAGATATGAGACCATATGCTGGTGCGGTTGTTTTTGTTTTTTTTAAGTCATCATCTCGGAGAGTGAGTGAACAGTTTTTATTCTTTTAACCTTTCTTTTGGATTTGTCTGCAATTGTTATAGAAAGATAGCTTTTAGAATTTAGACGCATTTTTTTCTGATTCCACTTAATTCCAAAAATGGGGACTCTAAAGTTTCTGACATCTTTGTCCTTTGAAGCATTTCATTTTAAACTGTCTGAATCTTAATACCTTCAAACCGTTAGACCCAATCTATAATTTGATGCATTTTAAAGCACAAGCCAATAGTTCTGTTTTCATTAAATTAAACCCTTGGTTTGACCTACCTTCTAAGTGTTTAAGTTGCTGTAGGAGATCTTGGAAAAAGTTCCAGCAAGCTATATTTTTTAACATACACAACCATGCCTTTCCCTTCAGACCACCTCTTGAAACCACGCCTTCAAAATACGTGAACGTGCATGCCGTCTGTCGAGATGTTCAGATGAGAAAGAGAAAGAAACTAGCTGAGACCCAGTGCTCGTGACACAAGCTAACAACAACATAATGCTACGTTTACACCTAAAGCAGCAGAGAGGCAGCAGAGCAAAAGCATCTAGTTTACATACAAGGTCAATGGTTGATGCGCATCATGGCACAGCAAAAGGTCCTGCACCGTCTCGCTGATCTGGGAGCTGGCAGGAAGACAGACACAGCATTGATGCAGAGCGCTATGATCACTCCTCTGAAACAGTTTATTAACGGCTTAATTAACTTAGAATGCTGAAATCTGCCGGCAAAACATGTTCGCTTTTATTATCCTGGTATCTGCAGTTTGGAGTACGTACACAATAAATGCCTTCCAGCCGCTGTGGCAAACCTCAAAGAGGCAACTGGGCCAGAGGCTGCTATTGAATGGGATTCCTAGTGACAGCGCACTGCCGGTGTACGGGGGTCTGAGTTGCTCCCACAGCAATAATATTTGAAGGCAGGATGGTAATCTGGATGAACTGACTGCACTAATAAAGTTTTCAGGTGAACTTTCTCACTTCAAAATCTATTCAAACTCCTTTTTACCCACTGATCACAGCAAATATAGCTGCCATTGTTACAGACAAAGAAAGCATAGGGTAGCTCCACCCAACGCGCATCAAACCCACTTTTTCCACCACACAGCTAGAGCAGCAGAGATGCTTCAGCCACACATCAGAACTAGAGTTGTACAAGTATAAAAAATGAAGCTGCACCCGCGTTTTTGCTGCTCTTACTGCTTTAGGTGTGAACGTAGCATAACAGTTCCTAGCTTCCAGCCATGGCGTCCTGCATGATCATTGGTGGGTCAATTTGTTTATGTGTCAGGCTACATGCACAGAGTGGAGGGACAAGCAGACGACCATGATTGACGTCTCAGGAACTAATACTGTACAACGGACTGTGTTTTGTGATTGGTGGACGTTACTCATTGATTTCACGCTGTAGTGGGCACCATTTAATTTAGTTTCACTTCCAGACCTTCTATTTCATTGCTTGTTATGCAACTGTTGGGATCAAGCCACATGGTAAAAACTGCACCTTTAAGCTAAGAAACACTTAATAAGATTTGGGCCCTTAGACTGTTAAGAACAGAGGTCTGTGACATTCACAATCCAAAGAGCCATTTTTTGATTTCAGTCCAGTTACTAAAACAAGTTTGGAGCTACAATGGGTACACAACCTAAAGATAATTTATAAGAAGATCCGTAGTAAATAACAACTGTACCATTTTAGGTTTTGAATTAAAGGAATCAAACTTTCAAAAAAAAAGAATGAATACATTTTCAATGGGTTGTTTGTTGAAAATTATGATTTAAAAAAATCCTACTGCAACACAGCTGAATCTGATGATAGCTGATAAACAGGCTTTTGCTGAACTGCAATCAATGGAAATTGGCTGTGCTGAAGCAACACAGGAAAATTATAAAACATTGACCTTTAAAGACTATTGACATACCTGATTTAGTAAATGTATTTTTGGAGTTCAATATTTGTTGGTGAAAAAAAAAAGCTGGATATTATAATTATAATCCAAAGTGATGAGGCATTGTTGAGTATATTGTTGCCACTTGTGGCTTTGGAGACACAGGTAACAGACCCATGGTTTTGAGCTTTCACTTATCTTTAAATATGTCTCATGTTTTGTCCAATTAATTGCATGTTTTTCAATACACTCAAGTCCAGATGAAAGAAATGTGAAAGCAGCTTTTAAGTTGCACAAAATAACTTTAGTATAAATTTGTGCTACAGGCAACCATCTTCAGCCTAGCTAAAGAAACTGTATTTAAAATGTCTATAATCCAGCTTGTCTGCTTGATTGTATTTTGTTTTTATGTAATTGCTATGAGGTCCTAAATGTTTGAGTATTGACTGGCTTTAATACAGAGAAAGATGACTGATTGTATGTCTCTGTTATCTTTTAGACCATTTCTATAGATGACCAATACATCATTACAGCTGATCGAGATGAGAAAATCAGAGTGAGCCATCACCGGTCTCCTTACAATATCCAGTCTTACTGCTTAGGACATCAGCAGTGAGTATCAGGACCCAAATTATAATGTGTGACCAGTTGTATTTATACTTATATTTAATGAACATATGGTCTGATTTTTTTTATTGATGTTTCCAAGCTTCATTAGGAGGTTAAGTGTAAGAATCTATTTTGTTGAAATGCACTCCAATCTAGGTTTTTTTCTTTAAACAAATTTCCAAATCTTCTGATGATGGCCCGAAGGTCAGTATTTCTGTACTCTGACTGAAACAAACAAACATCTGGGAGCTGGTTGAGGACAATATACTGACCTAATGGCTGAAGACACTTTATAATTTGAACCTTGACCTTTGAGTATTGTTACAACTTACGACATCTTTGAAATATATAATTTGCATTTTTAAACCCACAGATTAATTTTATCCAAGCTAATTTGCACACCACGCACCCGCTCTCAACCTGTTTCTATTTTTTTGTGCAGGTAGATCTAAGTGCCTCAAAGCTCTTTCTCATTTCAGATTTAATCATATTTTTCTAAAGAAAAATTAGAATATGTGTCTATATTTCACTTCAAAAATAATTTAAACCTTTAATAATGATTTTACATTTTGTCATAGTGCTTCAAGGGATTGGATTCAAGTAATGGACAGCCTAAACAGACATGAATACTGGATTCATCAACTCATCAAATCGGTGCTCCACTGATAGTGGCTTTTCATACTTGCTTAACTCTATGTGGACCTACTCAGATTTGTTTAAACTAACTCGCAGCAGTTATTGTGAAACCGAAAACCCGAGTTTACAACCTTAGTCTAGATCAATTCAGAGAGAAATACCAGCCGTGCTCTCTCCAGGATGGTGTCACAGCTAATCGGAAACTAAGTGAAGCTACTATATGAAAAAACAGGGAGACCATAACGTTATAGATTGAACTCGCAGATTCTGCAGAGTAGGCAAATAGAGATAGAATGATTTAAAAAAAAGGGCCTACAGCAACATAACTATACAGATAGCCTAGTGGGTGCCGCGGCACCTAGGGGTACCACGAGGTCACTTTTTCAAAAATTGATGAGAGTTTTATATTGAATGTACATTTTTACATTTTAACAATTTTATAAATTTATTTTGATGTAAGCAAATATATTCTAAGGCGAGGGGCTTCATTTTATGTTTTTTTTACTACTTTGAAAAAAATGACAGAAAAATAATATCAAATAATCATTGTAAGTTTAGGGGTACCACAGCTGGGTGGAAAAATGTGTAGGGGTACCTTGAGCCAAAAAAGTTTGGGAACCACTGGCTTAGATTACTTAGCTATCTGTACCTGAGCCTCTCGAACTATAAGCTTTATCAAAAAGGAAAGTTTTATGCCTAACCCTAAAAGTAGATGGGGTGTCTGACTTAGGACTAAAACTGGTTGTTGGTTCCACAGGACAGGAGCCTGATAACCAAAAGATTTGCATCCCATTCTGCTTTTAGAAATTCTTGGAACCATTAGTAAACCTGCAGATTGAGAGCGAAGTGCTCTTTCAGGAAAATGATGAAACAGTCATATCTCTGATATAAGATGGAGCTTGGCAATTTAAGGCTTTATATGTGAGAATGTATATATGTGTGTGTGTGTGTATATATATGTGTGTATATATATATGTGTGTGTGTATAGATATATGTGTGTATATAAATATACACTATATTGCCAAAAGTATTTGCTCACCCATCCAAATTATTGGAATCAGGTGTTCCAATCACTTCCATGGCCACAGGTGTATAAATTCAAGCACCTAGGCATGCAGACTGTTTTTACAAACATTTGTGAAAGAATGGGTCGCTCTCAGGAGCTCAGTGAATTCCAGCGTGGAACTGTGATAGGATGCCACCTGTGCAACAAATCCAGTCGTGAAATTTCCTCGCTCCTAAATATTCCACAGTCAACTGTCAGCTGTATTATAAGAAAATGGAAGTGTTTGGGAACGACAGCAACTCAGCCACGAAGTGGTAGGCCACGTAAACTGACGGAGCGGGGTCAGCGGATGCTGACGCGCATAGTGCGAAGAGGTCGCCAACTTTCTGCAGAGTCAATCACTACAGACCTCCAAACTTCATGTGGCCTTCAGATTAGCTCAAGAACAGTGCGCAGAGAGCTTCATGGAATGGGTTTCCATGGTCGAGCAGCTGCATCCAAGCCATACATCACCAAGTGCAATGCAAAGCGTCGGATGCGGTGGTGTAAAGCACGCCGCCACTGGACTCTAGAGCAGTGGAGACACGTTCTCTGGAGTGACGAATCGCGCTTCTCCATCTGGCAATCTGATGGACGGGTCTGGGTTTGGCGGTTGCCAGGAGAACGGTACTTGTCTGACTGCATTGTGCCAAGTGTAAAGTTTGTTGGAGGGGGGATTATGGTGTGGGGTTGTTTTTCAGGAGCTGGGCTTGGCCCCTTAGTTCCAGTGAAAGGAACTCTGAATGCTTCAGCATCCCAAGACATTTTGGACAATTCCATGCTCCCAACTTTGTGGGAACAGTTTGGAGCTGGCCCCTTCCTCTTCCAACATGACTGTGCACCAGTGCACAAAGCAAGGTCCATAAAGACATGGATGACAGAGTCTGGTGTGGATGAACTTGACTGGCCTGCACAGAGTCCTGACCTCAACCCGATAGAACACCTTTGGGATGAATTAGAGCGGAGACTGAGAGCCAGGCCTTCTCGTCCAACATCAGTGTGCAACCTCACAAATGCGCTTCTGGAAGAATGGTCAAAAATTCCCATAAACACACTCCTAAACCTTGTGGACAGCCTTCCCAGAAGAGTTGAAGCTGTTCTAGCTGCAAAGGGTGGACCGACGTCATATTGAACCCTATGGATTAGGAACGGGATGTCACTTAAGCTCATATGTGAGTCAAGGCAGGTGAGCAAATACTTTTGGCAATATAGTGTATGTGTGTGTGTGTGTATATATGTGTGTGTGTATATATGTGTATTAGGGGTGGAACGGTTCACAAAATCCACGGTTCGGTTCGATTTACGATTTCTGGTCCGCTCCCATACAGCAGACCTATAAAGTGCTGCTGGCGCGTCTTCCAACGCCTGTTCTTTCCCACTCGCCATTCCGACACAATTCTCCACAACAACTGATTTTTTCCCCTGCTACACCCGGCTAAGCTGCTTCACTACTTCTTCTTGTTTACTACTGGTAGTTGGCTTTGGTCGCAGTAGCGCCACCTTCTGCTCTGGAGTGTAATTGCTTCGCCTATGAGAAAAAGGAGCAGCGCATGAACCGAACGAAACACACGCGAACCGAACCGAACGGTTCTGACGGTTTTCATAAATCGTCCCATCCCTAATGTGTATACGTGTGTGTGTATATACACTATATTGCCAAAAGTATTTGCTCACCTGCCTTGACTCACATATGAGCTTAAGTGACATCCCGTTCCTAATCCATAGGGTTCAATATGACGTCGGTCCACCCTTTGCAGCTAGAACAGCTTCAACTCTTCTGGGAAGGCTGTCCACAAGGTTTAGGAGTGTGTTTATGGGAATTTTTGACCATTCTTCCAGAAGCGCATTTGTGAGGTCGCACACTGATGTTGGACGAGAAGGCCTGGCTCTCAGTCTCCGCTCTAATTCATCCCAAAGGTGTTCTATCGGGTTGAGGTCAGGACTCTGTGCAGGCCAGTCAAGTTCATCCACACCAGACTCTGTCATCCATGTCTTTATGGACCTTGCTTTGTGCACTGGTGCACAGTCATGTTGGAAGAGGAAGGGGCCAGCTCCAAACTGTTCCCACAAAGTTGGGAGCATGGAATTGTCCAAAATGTCTTGGTATGCTGAAGCATTCAGAGTTCCTTTCACTGGAACTAAGGGGCCAAGCCCAGCTCCTGAAAAACAACCCCACACCATAATCCCCCCTCCACCAAACTTTACACTTGGCACAATGCAGTCAGACAAGTACCGTTCTCCTGGAAACCGCCAAACCCAGACCCGTCCATCAGATTGCCAGATGGAGAAGCGCGATTCGTCACTCCAGAGAACGCGTCTCCACTGCTCTAGAGTCCAGTGGCGGCGTGCTTTACACCACCGCATCCGACGCTTTGCATTGCACTTGGTGATGTATGGCTTGGATGCAGCTGCTCGACCATGGAAACCCATTCCATGAAGCTCTCTGCGCACTGTTCTTGAGCTAATCTGAAGGCCACATGAAGTTTGGAGGTCTGTAGTGATTGACTCTGCAGAAAGTTGGCGACCTCTTCGCACTATGCGCGTCAGCATCCGCTGACCCCGCTCCGTCAGTTTACGTGGCCTACCACTTCGTGGCTGAGTTGCTGTCGTTCCCAAACACTTCCATTTTCTTATAATACAGCTGACAGTTGACTGTGGAATATTTAGGAGCGAGGAAATTTCACGACTGGATTTGTTGCACAGGTGGCATCCTATCACAGTTCCACGCTGGAATTCACTGAGCTCCTGAGAGCGACCCATTCTTTCACAAATGTTTGTAAAAACAGTCTGCATGCCTAGGTGCTTGAATTTATACACCTGTGGCCATGGAAGTGATTGGAACACCTGATTCCAATAATTTGGATGGGTGAGCAAATACTTTTGGCAATATAGTGTGTATATATATATATATATATATATATATATATATATATATATATATATATATATATATATTACATATACAGATATACATCAGATATACATATACAGATATACATCAGATATACATATACAGATATACATCAGATACATCAGATAGCAGTCATCAGATACCCCGCTGGTATAATAAACTGGCCAAAGGAGGAGATAGAGGCTACTGACATCAAGACGAGAAAGCTCCTCACAATGCATGGAGGGTTCCACCCCAAATCCAGCACTCTGAGACTGTACACCAAGCGTAGCGAGGGAGGCCGAGGGCTAGTGAGTG